TCCGCGTAGAATCGTCATTTTCGTTCGTTATTACTTTTTCTGTATGAACCTAATTTAGTTTTCAATGCAGTACAATATAATTATTGTAATGTATACGTCTTGAAAAATTTTCTATTTGATAAACGAAGCGAAAAAAAATCTACGGTAACAAATGAATGAAATTTTCAATCTATTTATCTTAACACTGAGACGAATTTAACTTTTCATTTGATTTTACGTAATATTTATGTTTTTAAACTTTTTTATATCAATTTTTACTCGTGGAAGCACTGTGTCTTTTTCTGTGTCCAATAATACACTTTTATTTCAGCTATTAATTCTTTGAACAAGTTCTTGTTACAGGATATACAATCATTGAAGAATGGAATTGGAAATGGTACACGGATTCCATCTTGATCGTTCCTAGAGAAATATTTCATACAATTCTATTTATGTTTCAGGGAAACGTCGTGGGATTAACAAAGACACATAGAAGAAAATATCTTTTCATATTTCTTCGTTTTATATCGGTTATATTTATTGTATATGAGTGTATGTTTTAGAAAACCATCGTGGGATTTTGGAAGATACCAAGAAGAAAATATTTCCTCGTATTTCTTCGTTTCCACAGATTGCATTAGAATATAAGTACAAATGTATATAGATATAAGCGTTCTCCAGCGTTTTATTAAATACTACGAAAATGGGTGCGTAAATTTAAGTGGGGATGATTAATATTAAGGTACATATTAGTGTTCTAATATGCAAGGTCCATACGTGCAGTTGCACATTTCTGGTTGGATCTTCAGTGTCTTCTTAGGCACTGTTATAATTAAGAAGGAACAATTAATAATAAAGTACGTATTGGTACTTTAATAATTAGGATTCGCACGTGCAGTTGCACATTCCAATTTTGTTTCTAAAAAACATGCATTATCTCGCATGTATCAACATTTTGTTAGGTTTTTGATCTCTTCATCAGAGTTCGTACGTGCAGTTGCACAATCCAATTTCGTTTCTAGAAAACATGTGCTGGATTATCTCACATGTATCAACATTTTGTTAGGTTTCTGATCTGTTCATCAATCAGAGTTCGTACGTGCAGTTGCACATTTCGTTTCTAGAAAACATGTGTATCATTTCACATGTATTGACATTTTGTTAGATTCTTCATCTCTTCATTGGGCAGTTCTTTCAAGAACTCTCCCTTTGTAGCTCATTTCTAACTTTTCGATAGCTTCTCCCTTAGATACGTATTCGAATTCCTCGCCAAAGGAAGGGTGGTTGGGGCGAGGCTAGGGTGGGTCTCCATTCGCAGCAACCTCCACGCGGTGAGACCTGGGTCATATTATTTACTATGTAATTAATTTAATTATTAATTGCATAGCAAATAATATGAGCTAATAGCTGCGTTCTTCCTATAGTTTCATATATATTCTTATGGTCACTGGTGGTCAACAGTGAGGTTGACATCAAGGTCAGCGGTCCAGTAAAGATCTAGAAATGGTCAAGAGGTGGGACCAATCGAAATAGTTGCTTTGTAGAAAAGACAGTCTTAACTGTTAACTTTAACTTTGGCTCTGACTGGTCTCCCCACCCTTTCATCACCTTAGACATATAAGCAGGGTCACTGCGAAGAATTCTTCAGTCTCGTCGCGAATTCGGGAGTGCACAAATGGCCAGAAGAGAACCTGGGGCCGCTGCTGACCTCCGCTGGCCGCTGCTGACCACTGCTGACCGTGGCTGACCAGTACTGACCGATACTGACCACTACTGACCAGTTCTGACTCGTGCTCCTACCATTACTGACCACTACTGACCACTGCTGACCAGTGCCGGACGGTGATGACCAACGGTAAGAACTGTTTAAAAATTCTCTCCCCTCTTCTATTCTATCGTTTGATGGCAATTTCGCTTCAATGAACTGATTTTGCCTTGCTTGTCTAACTGACGTTGCTATAATATGAATATTTTCTTACTTTACAGCTGGCGCAATGGTAACTACTCTATGTACTGACAACAAGTAGTAAGTCCACTCCACTTATTTATATTTTATTATTTTTATTTGTTTGTTTGATATGAATTCAAGCTTCGATATGTATAATATTGAATTCTCGTAATATTCTACGGAGGTACTTTGTTAATTCTTCCGTTTCGCGTGATTGTTTGGTGTTGATTCAACTTGGTGTCTCGATCCAAGTTTCTTTCATTACAATTACGAATTTGATATGTATAACATTGTGTCGATGCATATATCATATTTGTTTCGATGACACTGATGAATATAAGATTTTTATTTTTACGTTTCAGCTTAAATTCTTGTAACATTTTGCTAATATACTCTGTTCAATTCCCGTTAGCTAGGTGATAGATCATTTGTAAGTGTTTATAAACCACCTTTTTAATCCCTTAGCTTACATTGATGTTTCAGAGACGTGATGAGTCTACCGGGCCAAACATGAACAAGACGACTCAGAGATGTGATAGGTCCACCGGGCCAAACCTTGGTGATGCTTTTGGCACGCACAGTTTGAAATTAAATCGTAAGGCAAAGGGGTAAAAGAATTGGTTGTATACGTGCTTTCTATGGCAAGTGTAGTTAGTATCTTTTGCTTAAAATTATAATCTTCTTGCACACCGCGATTTTTAAAATGACAAATGTCATAGTAGATTCATTTTTAATTTGACACTAATTTTAAAATGAATATATAATGAGTACATATGTGTACTACGCGTACATCACTTTCTTTCGTCCGCTCGTTCTCTGGTTCTCGCTTTCCGAGATTATGTCTCGACCGAAAGGACCGGAGAGTTTTTTGCTCGATCACCTCTGTTTGATAGAATGAAACATGTGACACCTGTGTATTAGGTGTGATAGCTCTTACCGCTTCAACCCCGGTGCAGCTTGGTTCAGCTTAAGTGGGGCCTCGCCGAGCGCATATATTCTCCTCTTTATACGGAAAAGAGAATGACCTCCGGTGAGAGTCCTTGACCCATATCCGTTCTCGAGTACTAAGCGGGTCCTGTTGTGATCTTGTGTCCTCCAGGACCCGGCGGTTGTACGTAGAGAGGTCCGATAGACGTGGGTCAGGGGCGCGACTTGCTTTTCTGATAATCAAGGCCGGGGGGGATCAATCTGATACCCACACTCAATGCACGCTATGAGCACGTGTCGCGTCGCGTCGCGTTTTATTTAAGCGTGCGATGATTTTTACACGCCGCAATTTTTAATATGACAAATATCGTAATATCGATCGAAAGTAGAGTCATGATTTTAATATCTTTTATAATACTTATAATTATATTAACTTTAGAATGAGTGTCAAATTAGTAGCTTCCGATTGTTCTTTACATTCTTCAATAATTAAATTCACTTTCATAATTCAGTTGACGACTTTGGGTATCTTCGATATCGAGGATACCCAAAGTCTTTCTTTACTTATTAAAATATATCATTAGATTGACGTGCAAGAAGATATTTCGCGACGAATACATTTTAGAGTCAAAGTAACCTCGTATATTATGTACTATTTTTACTTTCTCACTGCACTTGCCTGTAGTTGTAGTATTTGTAGTTTTACAGTTTCAGTGTTCTTCTCTTACTAATCTATTAAGCCAGTTTCTGTTACAGATCAAATTCCTACGGAAGTTTTAGGTTTATAGAGGTAAAAATTAAGAATTCTTACAACTTTGATTGATATTGCTTTGTTTGTGTTTCAGGAAATCATCGTGGGATAAATAGAACATAGAAGAAAGAGGAATGTATGTCATGTATTTTGTTTCAGATTGCTTAGTTTATGTTTTAATAATTTGGATTTATAGTTAGGTACAATATATTTTCTATGTATTTTGTTAGATGATTAGATAGGTAGGATGTAAACGAATTTAGATCTATAGTTAGGCAGGAATTTGATTCTCTATATTAATCATTATATCAGGCAGGCAATATTTTGGTCTATATCTCTGTTTTGTTGATGAGAATTTAGAAGCAAATTCTTTCTCAAAACATTCTTTCGTTGTTTGTTTCCTTCGTTGGTTACACTTTCGTTTGTTTCTTCTTCGACCAACGATTGTTGGTTACAGATTTTTATTAATGGAGGGTGGTTGGGAATCGGTTAGGGCGGGTCTCCATTCGCAGCAACCTCCTCGTGGTGAGACCTGGGTAATATGATTTAGCGTTTAATTAATAATCGTGTCACTCTTAGCTGGGTAATGCAATTATTAATTAAAAACTAAATAATATTAGCAAATTGGCTGCGATCCGCTTTGCATAGGTCATCATAAATATAGAGCTTCTTCACTAGGTTAGTTTTGATTCTCATTGATTCATCAAAGATTCTAGAGTATTGTCACAAATATGGTATAGAAGTAGATCCTTCATCCAATGTATTTTTGCGGCCTATTTTTATGGGGTCTCGAAACTCCATTACCATTTTCGTGTCATTCGCAACGTTACCGACAGATTCAGAAATGAATTTTAATCTCTTCCATAGTCAACTCACATGCATTTACGCAACACTACAGCTGTTTGCCTATCAATACTAATTCAGTGAATAGTTTCTCAACTGACCGCCATACCTCGACTGTGGTAAGATCGTTTTCTGTAACTTGTTGGTAAATTCCCCATCGAGGTATACATACCGGTCTATGGTAAATGTAACGAACTGAAGTATCGATCTCGTAAAAAGTTAGCGGAATTGTCAGCGCACAGTATATCGAAGTATGGTAGATCTGGAAACATGTTCATTTCAGCAATCAAAGTCGATAACGTTTAGCATATTTTAGAATTTTTCCTTCTGTCGATCTATTCTCCTATTCAAATTTATTTGCGTGACATACAAAATGGAGATAATTAAAGAATGGAAACGGTAGTTCAATTCGCAACTTGAAGTGATATTTTCGTAACCTTGGTAAACAGTAAATGACACATTAAGACAAAGTATGCATATAATAAACAACTTTTAACTCGGTGTAATTAAAATGAATGCAACTGTTCGCAATTAATGTTCTTCGCTCGCTCACTACGTGGGTTTCATTACAGTGTAGTAAGAGAAAGATGCTTTTATCACCTATAAATAAAGTTGTACTTGTACAAGTCTTTTCAAAATATGTTGCATATTGTATGGAAAAGGGAAACTTTACCTGTACAAAAGTACTTAAGTTCATCTCGACGAGTCCACAAGCTGTTAGTTCCGGTGGAGAGAGACATCTTTGAAATACCATTAAGTACAACGATTGTGATTTTAGTGAAGCGTTATACCATAACGATTCCCATCTGTAACAATATCGTGCATTTTTAAGATCAGAATTTTTAAATTTCAAATTATATATTTTCCTCACATTGCTTGTAAAGACTCGTCACTCGTATTTTTCAACCATTGTCCCAGACTATTTAAGAGATACATGTTCGTTAATTGAATCGCCATGAATGCACAAAACGTCACGTATTCAAAATTCTTTTCCACCTCAGCTACCTAATCTAGGAGAATCAAGCAGAGAATTAGATCACTCGAACTGTGATCAAATTTGATACGATAAATACACGTTCGTACGTAACTTGCCTTTAGAAGCGTGCTCGCTATCATCAACATTATTAATCCTATATAGGCGAAGAGAAGTTTGTCGTGAGAAGCTTCAATTTTCCCTATAAACCTATTACAATATATGAAATCCTATACAGCCGACGATGAAAGACTTCTCAGATTAATAATTAATTCATCTTACGCGACACAATACTCACGTTATTACTTTTTTATGGATTTCGATAGATCGACACAACCTTGCATAAACTTGATCCTTTTGCGGATCGTTGATCCTATAGTAAACGTAATCTGGTTCTATCGCGTGTTTGAAACGGTACCTGCAATCGTTTTCGATTTAATATTCTATTATATAGCAATGCAAACGGTATATACTCACCCACTGATTGTGTATAAAGCACGGGCGTGTTGTACGAAAGACATGAAGTTCACGTCGGTTACAGCATATACTGTCACGATCATTACCGAACCCACTACCTCGAACGTGATTATTAAATAATAGTATTTTTCTTCGTCCAGGAAAAAGTATGCTGGATATAGGAATATACGTTTTCGTGTCTCGTTTAATGGATAGAGGAAGTCCAGAATGTGCGTAGAAGCCGGTATAGCACAAAACATACATGAAATGAACCACAGAGACCCTAAAGAGATATCGCATTTTCGTATTTTGTGTATTTGTGATGAATGTGACGAACTCAAGGACTATTAGGAGTAGAATCAGTTACAGCCATTTACAGTATTTAATAGATTTTTAAGTGCGGAGTGCATTTATCCTGTTCTGTTACCTGCGTAAATGAATGAAAATGTCACTGTCTTTTTGGAATAAGTTTCCAGAATGTCTATCTCCTCTTTCGGCTTTTCAGTCATCCAGTCGATGATGGTATCGTCGATAAGTTCCATTAACTATGATTTTATCAATGTTTTGTAACCGTAGAAATTGTTGTATGAAAATTTCCATTCTTTTATTACCTTATCCATGTTCACGACATTGTTTATAGCCTTTACAGCGACAGTACCTGCTAATAACAGATAGGGAATTTGACCTGTCATAGCTACGAAGCTGTAGTTTCTCATCAAGTGTGCTACCTACGGTTCAAAGAAAACTTTCATAGTTCGCGATAGTTCACTTCTGAAAAATATCAATTACAATTCTTGGTTGAGAATTTAAGTATATCTTCGGAAACTGTACCTGGCCTACGATGGATATTGAAAGAAGAGTGCATATCATAGTTAACGTTATGTATTTCAAGTACTTATTCGAACCAGGCCATATTCCCAGTATTCTTCCGTAGAACTTATTAACCGGAAAGAGTCGTTGATGTATCGTAAGTGCGTCCATGATGCGCGAAACTATCGAACGATTATGCCAGACTGACAAAATGGGAAATACAATCCCCTTGCTCGGAAGCTAATTAAGTTACATTCAATTGTTTTTTTTTTATTCTAATTTTCCTGCCTTGCCGCGCGGCAGAGAGCTTTTACGGTTACTAAATTATTCCATAACCATTTTAACAAGTTTCATCGGCTCAGCTATTCCGAAGATGTACGGATAGCTATGCTTTATTTATTCATCGCATGCCTAAGTGTCATTGCGTGTCACCTCGTAGCTTCTTTCTCGCGTAATCCTTACTTAAAAACCTTTCTCCGTACAAGTTCCTTAATTTTAATACTCCTTTTTGCTAGCTACAATTTACCAGACTCGAAGCAGACAGAAAGTCTATTGGCATACGATTGCATTCTGCGAATGTGTCATCGTCTTGTGACCGTAAGCTGAAGAAATTGTACTTACATTTGTAGTATTGTTTGAAATAATATTACAATTCTTTGAGACAAATCATTGTAATTGTTTCCTTAAATCGTGATGGTGAAATTGTTCAGTAAGACGTGGCATATCGATATAATAGTTGGATCAAAAACAGTTTAAGGTTGAATAGTTTATTCAATAGTCGTTATTGCAAGCTACATTCAGGCAAATATTTTCTATCAATATTCATGGAGATTGTAGCTTGTCACAATGCACTTTCCCGGTTACTGTATTATTCTGTAGACATTTAGAGAGGTTTCTATCGACGCAGCTAAACGTACAACTGTCCATCATTCGTAGTACTTCCACTAGTTTAATGGACTATTTTTCTATTTAAAATTCATCGCGTTCGGAACAGAATCTAATGTCCATTTGACAAGGGTAGATGTCGATGTCAAATTTGTTACCTGTGCATGTTGTAGCATGTCGTTTCAGAGAGGAGGTAGATCTCTCCCAAATACTGTATCCGAACAGTCGCATCCCTAAACGGAGCGCTCGAAAAATGTGTTTCGAACTGTTTCTGCCCCTTTCGAAAATAATTATACGTTCGCGGGCCGACGATGTGGTAGCAATGTGGTAATTGGCCCTCGGGCAAAAGCGAGTTTGACATGGTTGACGTACAAGGTTGGTGCACGCCTCGGAACACACGGACGTCAGTGAAAGTATATCGTTCTCACCCCCACCCAGACCAACGCTGAATCGGAACTCGTGCATGCGATCGCGTGGAAGGGGTACAGACTCGAGTATGGGTATAGTCATGTCGACTGACCCACGCTGTTACAGCTGTAAGATCGTCGCGCGTAAAATCAAAACCCTCTCGCGAAGTCTCTCTAACCAGCAACGAGAAGTACACACACGCCAATGACAGTGTCGCGGGTGTCTAAATCGTCGACGGTCCCACCATTCCTCCGCAGTTCCATCGTAACTTCCGATCGTCCTACGCGCGTGTTGTTCAATATTTATGAATCAGACTCTTTCCTCGACGCATTTCATTCATTCGCGTAGTCGTCCGCGTATGACTCGGTGCACCATTGTTCGAACCGTTTCTCAATTCGGTCGCGGGAAACCATTTCCACTGGAAGATTGATCGTTCGCGCGACCATGTGTACTCTACGAAGTGTTTCGTTCGACGTGAGCATCTGGAGTGTCTACGTTTCTTTCGAAGACGCGAGGAAAAGTTGAAGGATTCGTTCGTTTCGAAGGGGCAGACGTTAAGTATTATTGGTAATTATTTTTATATAGATTTGTCTCCAAAATCTTGGTATCTCAGAAGACAGTTTGCAAAATTTTATTTGGTACACGTGGTATGTGGAGTAACTCTTCGAAATCGAATGATCTGTTCGTTTGACTTTTTCTCGTATCTTGGGCATTCTGTAAATTCGCGTGAAAGGAAAGATTTCTTTACATATCGACTCCGACAATAGCTGTCAACACTCACACCAGGAGCGACTCCATGATTACGCATCGCCGTTTCCGCGATCCGTCCAGTTTGCGTGGTGCATCCTTTCGCGGTTACCGGCACGTGCGTCCACGAACGTGCAATCGTTTATCGTGCACGGTAGATTCTTTCCACGAGACTCGTGCCACGTTAATTATGTGATTTAACCGTTACGTTTCCGTCGAGACAGCTGTTCTCGCGTTTCGATCGTGCACGATAAGAGGAAAAGAAGCGGTAACCGCGGGAAATTCGATCGCCTCGAGGAGGTGTCTTCGAGCGAAATTCGTCGACGCTCTGTGTGCATCTTGGATCGAATATGAGGCGATTTTTAGATCTGTTGATCATTGTAAGTAGAAACATTTATTCGTGTTACAAACCTCGTAATATTTTGTGGTCTGAATATTTCCCCGTCGTTGTGACAGAGGATGGATAACACCGTGAAAGATATCTTCATTTTTCGAATCAATAATCGAACCAATGTTGAGCAAATTTTTGAAGCAAAGCAGCCATTTACGATTACATTAATTTTTAATTTAGTATTCGTCGGTGTCCTTTGGTTTAAAAACGTTTCAAAGATGTAGAGATAATCTCGTGCAGTTAAAAAAGATTAATCGCGGAAGCTTCCAGTCGATCTTTCTAATTCAAGACTCGGCTCGCGTTTCTGGTGTGTGCAGGTCACGCGTGAAAGTATAACTCCGTCGAAACGTGTGTGTCCCTCGGGCGTGGACATTACGTGTGAAAAATGAGAACTACGCATGAAAAAATACATATTCAATAAGCAGTTTCTTTAAAATTTCTTTCGGAGACACGAAAATTAAAATTGAATATATTTTTTTGAGCAAATAGAATATGAATACGACTCTCGCGGAAGGTCTTGTTCCCCCGTAGAAAATATATGTCGTGAAAGCCGAGTGAAATGTGTTCGAGAGTCCATCTTGTATCGTAACGTCTGATGTAAGACTTCTACTTTTGTAAATCGTCGTAATATTAGTTTATACCTCGAGAATTTTTTAAATATTTCCCTTCTTCTGTGCAACAGTTTGATCCTAGTCGATAATAAAAGGAGTCGTATTTTTATCAGCGAAAGGAAAGTGGGTGTCTCGAGATTCGAACGACTTCGTGATCCGGAGATCGATAGATCGCGGTACTGGCTGTGTCATACGATGAGTCAATTGAAAGCGGCCTAAGAAAGCAGTTAAACGCCGCTGCACCAGGATATTACGTCAGAGTTAAATCCGTTTTAAACTGCTGGATCAGATAATAATGGCGGATCGTTTCAAAATTCCAGCACCAAAAATAGGCCGATGGGAACAGATTTACGTATGACGGCTTCTTATTTTTATTCCGCGATGGCCACGATAACGCACGCCCGTACGAGTTTCCTGCGTGTTTCACGATCTTTATCGCGATTTACGATCGATAGCGCAACACCGGTGCCACGGAAACCACGAAATTTCAATAAACGACCATAGCTCTTAACCCTTTCGCTCATGGCGTGCTACGTTCGGTACATTATATTCCACATATTACAAAACAGAGTGGAAAGCAATTTTACGCGTTGCTTCGCGTTTCCTTACGTTCTTTTTTTTTTATCTGTACGCTATATTAGAATCTTGATAAAAAAAAAACTTGTAGACTTATATTAACAACTTCCGTTAGGCGCCTAGGGTTACAGAATCGTCTACTTCTTTCACTGTTTCGTTTATCTTATTATTTTTATTTTCAGCGTTGATTCTGACTCTGTTTCGATCGCCGTCAACTGGATTCAAACTGTTGCAATAATCGTGGTTTGTTTGTGGAAACCGAGAAACCCTAGTTCAGTTTTCGACTGTATCGGTGGTATTTGTTTGTCGATCTTGGTGGTATGATTTCTTTATTATGTAGCTGCTGCTTTATATTCATAGAATGCGGCGAGTCGATGAAACCATTTCGAAGGAGCATGATTCACTCGGATTCCGCAACCTGCCCAAGATTTCTCCTAATAATCTTTATAGAAATTTTACAAAAATAACGTTCGAATTTCGTAAATCGCTGCTTCGTCGATCTTGTTCGTTTGGCCCTGTGTATAAATTCTACTGTCGTTAAATGCATGTTATCCATCCACTACTCGTTATCACCCCTTTGCCTGTATAATCAGTTACAATTTGTACTTTGTACTTAATTCGTAGAAACGATTTGGTTTCAGTTGTGTTTGGTGAACGCTCACGGTGAGCCTTGTCTCGAATACGGATGTCCTGGACGACCCCGCTACGAACCTTTTGTTCCTGCACCTCCGGGGCACACACCTAATTGCGCAAAACCTGGACAAACGTTCTGTGAAAGTCTCGATCACTATCCTAGGTAAGGCTCGATTTGCTCGAACAGAAAGCAAATAAGTGTAAAGGGTTAAGTCATTAAAATTCTTGTCGGACGCTCGCTGAAATCATTTGTAATAAATGGAGGCGATGTTATAGTGGTCGCACGAGTTTCCAAAAATGTTCCTCCAGATGAATTTACAAAAACACGGTTCACCGTTCTGCTATTGATATTCTTGGCCACGTTTTTGGTCCTGTCCTTGCATACGAATCAGGTTGTCAACGTCGAGACGAATTTCGGGAAGGGAAAGTTCCGGAATTGGTGATAGCGAAATTGTTCTCGAACGATATCCTGGAAATCGTCGCGTTCTTGCGTCACGCGAGTTTCGTTTCGTTCGTCGATCGAGGACGATTTCTGGTACCGGAAATCTGACCAACGATTGCATGGAACCGAATGGCGATGTAAATTAAGACTGTTACGTTCGATTCAGTACGTTTAATTCGTTGATCGTTGTAGCGTGATCATGGCCTTGACGCGGTCATGCCCTGCTAGATAATTATCGAAACCGTTACGATCGATACTCTTGCTATTTGGTGTTTTATCGATTAGTCGAAAGGCCACGCCGTGAAACGTAATAGATTTATCGCCGCGAACGATCGATCGTACGTAGTCTGCGCCATGGATTTTCAAGCGATTCAGCATTGTTTTCCCATTTCCGTGCGACTGTTCCTTGTATTCGATTTCCCGCGAAGTAAAAGCTGCAAACTGGAGGCAGGAAGAGTCAAACGTGGCGTAATAATTAATTCAGGAAAAGAAATTAGAAGCATTCGAGCGAGTTATCAATGTATGCATCTTCTATTAAACATCAACGTGAAATAATTGAGCGAACTTTAACGCAAGTGATAGAAACGTCGACGTTTTTTGGACTACAGAGAGTTGACGCATTGATTGCGCCGGCAATTCATTTACAAATTACATCTGAATTTTAAATTACACAGGAAGCGCCGTCGCACTCGCGTGAATGACATTCAGCTTTGAATCGTTTGAAGTTTCGACGTTGAAAGTGTTGAAATTATTTTGTAGTCGATATAACATAAACAGTGAATGAAACACGAAGTATAGAAACCGGCTTGCCAGACACTGCGTTGAGTCGTTACAATTACTTCGCAGTAGGTATTCAAACTGGCCTCCATTCGTCTGACAGTCGCACGCACACATCGACGCTATGTATTATTTACCGTTGAATGATAGCGTATCATTGATTGTCACACGAGTTTCGAACACTCCCATCTGATTTCCAATTGTTCGCAATTTATTTGCATTGTCTATTTGTTCCTGGAATTCTTGAATAGCTTGCATCGAAGCTAGACCTAGTTTCAGTGTTCGCTTCAAGTTTCTTCACTTTGCTTTCTGTATTTTATAAATCGAAGGAGAACGCTTTATATTTTCAAAATTCTGCAAAAATTGCTGAAACAGAAACTAAATTACAGCTTGAAAAAATGATGACAGTTGATACGCGGATTCTGAGTACGCGTCGTTGATGGAGGAGTCGTCGAACAGTACCAAACAATGGTACGATGCATTTATTCAGAGACTCGTGGTAACACGAGATGCATAACAGGAAACATTGATACCCAGTATTGTCTATTATTTTCCGACAATTTCAAGAATTTTCTTCGAGATCGTTTCCTCATCGCGATACATTCTTACGCCGTTACTCGCACTCCGTTCCTCGATTACGTCAAATACTGTAACTCGTTATGTAAGTTTCTCCAATCAGTAACTGTGATGTCTATTCTACTAACGCTAGGAATAAACTGACCATGGAAACAAAGAATTTCTCGCGTACGATCGCCTTCTCGACTTCGAATCTTTGTCGCTTTATTCGTCGTCTTTCTTTTTTTTTCTCTAAATTCTCTTGTCTCCTTATTCGATATTTCTACAGATTCACTTTCACTACTGTCAATATCACTTTCGCAATATGTGTCTTCTATAGTAAAATGATTGCTTTCACTAACACTTTCGAATTCCGAATTTTCGCCTGAAAATTAATCACTTTCTCGACCTGACATTATTCATCCTCGCACGGAAGATGAAACAGGACATAATAGGCTAGCTGTGATGCATTGTGCTTACATCTATAGGATGCATGGTATTCATTATAGCGATCATTTATCTTTCATTGAAACTTTAATATATCTCAATGGATGCTAAACAAAGGTCCATTTATACCGTCGACGCATTGTTGTTTTATTATTTATTCTAAATAGAAAAACCCAATGATCGAATGTATTTATGCCAATTCGAAAGTCGGCCGCGACGACCATATGCGCGAAACGGGAAGTGGCTCGATCGAGATGCAACCTGTGATTCGACCGGCATCGAGAAAACAACTTTTAGGCGTGGACCATGAATTATGCATCAAAATACATCTCTAGTCGGTGGTGTCTTTCACCTTTAGGGAAAGTTTCGGGATTCATGGTATTGCGTTCGTCGCGGATGGTCAAAAATCGCCGACGTGTTTGCGCATACACTTTGCACGTATCCTTACGAAATCGTGGGTTGTTGAACGATCGGTTCGTGTACTCCTAACTGTCGATCGATATTAACATAGGTAAACGTTTACGCTTTTGCTTCGTCAAGGGTTTTCAAGCTCAAAAGTTAAGTGAATAATTTGTATCGCTCTAACTTGCGTTAACCCTTTGACCGACGTTCAATCGAAATCGATTTCACGAAACGTTCGATCGAATCCGATACTATTTGAAAGTGGTTGTAAAATAGAACCAACTGACTCCCGATAGGTCGCTGAAATCTGGGTTCCGTGAACTCCATGAATAACGTATGGGAGAATAAACAATTTTTTAGTCGCTTTTAAAACGATTCTATTAAAGTTAATTCAAGTAATCGATGCGGTGTCGTGACAAATGTCGCTGGGCAATCTGCATCGCGCGATCCCTTGTCGAAGATCGTTTCGAGAATGCAGCGAAGAAACTTGTCCTAGTTTTTTTTTTATATCGACTCGTTTCTTCGCCTCGGTCCACGTTTATTTCTTTTAATCGCGCTTTTTGTCCGTTGCAGGCAGTTGATTAAATTTCTCGTGGACAAATGCAGCTTCGACTTCACCTCTGTGCTGCGAGACGAGTCCAAAGACGATTTCAACATTTATAGGTACGTTATGGTCGCACGCGATTGTAAATCCAATTTTTTACCAGTCTCGGTTATCCAACGTGATTGCAAAAAATATTAAAACACTATTTGCGGAATAGTTATTAATATTTTACTCGCTTGGTGTGCACATATTTCACAAGATCATTCTCGGAAATGTTTTTCCAATCCCTGGTTTATATAATAAAACCTTTATACTTGCACTTAGTCTTCGTTTGTTGCATCGTGTTGGCGAGTGAAAGGGATAGTCGTTTATTGAAAAGGGGCGTGTCTTTCATTCGAAACAAAAGCAGATTGTTTTTAACATTTAATATTCTACTCGTCAAGAATTGAAGTATATAATACGCTATTAACCTGACCTTCAAATCTCCGGATGCCTCAACTTATGTAATACCTACCTCGATACCTTGCAATTTTTGTACGCTATAATTTTTCATACGACACACGATGTACAAGTTGTGCTGAAAAGTGTGACTAAGACCTTGGTAGTATGAGAAGGTTAGGGCCATCGGAGATGCGACCCTTTTTGCGCACGTTCACCAAGCCAAGCTTACGTCGACTAATGATATGTTTAATTTTTAACAACTGAATTTTGTTCAAGGTCAATCCCGGATTACCCAGAAGGGTATGATTACCCTCCACAGGGGGAAACGCAATTACACTCGCAAGGGTTACCATTTCTGCCACCTCAATATCCTCTGAGAGGGCAGCCGACTTTAATTTATGGAACTCCGTCCAACGACACTCGCCAGAATGGGTAATTTGAATGCTAATTTCGCGCGAGGCATTATCCGTAATCCGACGCGTAAACCACTGATTTCTATATACTGGATACACCATAGGCCCGCACCATAAGATAGAATTGGGCAAATTTTATATACAATTAAGGAATGGAAGTCTTAGATTCGTACGTAAACAAAAAATATCGGTTTAGAAACTTCGTTAGTGGATCGTGTCTTACCAGAAACATATTAGAAATAAACTACCCTTAGAATTATGTACCCTTTTATGAAGATAAGTATCGTGATCGACGTTCAGGTGGCGCACGCAGTTTATTCTCATTGATAGTGGCCTCCGCATCGCTTATAAGTCCCGTTCTGCGGTTCAGTTCATACAACGTCATACTTAATTGTAGTTACAGATACACTACGCCCGGTCAATCGCAGAGAAATCCGTTTCTGATCGAGGGAATGCCGAGCGTCAAGTATCATTCCAGTAGCCAACGATCTATCGATCGTCCCTTCTATCCTCAAACGCAATCGTTGAACTTCGAACAGGGTCAAACATGGTGGGCAAACAGGTGATTATTTCATACACAGATATTCAATCTGTTCGTGATAAATGGCACACCCTGCGCGTGATATTCCAGAGGTTCTTAACGAGTTGTCAGTGAGCTGTTTTAGATCATAATATCGCGATACAAAGTAGCACACAACGCTTAATGAATCTGTCAATGAGTGACGTTTCCTCAAACAATATTCTACTACACAGGTGTTAGGCCTTGTGTTCTAATGTACACGTCGCGAGAATATACTCTCCACTCAAATATCAAAGTTTTCTGTAAATAAACGCTGTGACGAGTGCTTGTCACAACAGGCAGCCGCGAAGATAACGATCAAGCTAGACGAATCGATTAATTATACAGTCAGTTCGCGGCACGTCCATCGTCAAAAGCTTTCGTTACTTCCATATGACATAATGAACGAGACGGTGAAACGTTAAACGAATCGATTTCCATTCGTTTGCTCAGATACGCGCGGAACAGTAAAGCTGCGCCTCTCACTGTTTACGAAAATCCATTACTGAGGTACGCCAAGTCGGGCAAGACGCGTCAGAAGAGACAGTCTAATAATCTCGACACGATCACGCTTTGTCCGACGGAGGCGCAGTATATTACTCCCAGGGCAGCTCTGAACAACGAAGGGAACTGGATGTACGTGGTGAACCTGCAGGATCAGAACGAGAAGTACTCCCAAGTCGTGAAGAGCGAGAGATGCACGTGAGTTCTTTCAGTCGATTTTGAGCACCTCTACACACTGGGGATTCTAATCTTAAGGAGTGATTTTTATAGAGAATGTTTAACACAAGTGGGCAGAGTTTGAAGATTTATGTAGTACTGAATATAATTTTAAGAGTAACATGTAGTTTTGGTCCTCGTTCTTTCCAGGACAAACGTCTGCAACGGTATCTGCTCCGTTCCAGCCGGATACACCAGCAGATGTCAGCAACAATACGTTCAGAAGAGGTTAGTGGCGCTACGAGGAAGCGGAAATCAATTGTACACCGACGTATTTTGGTTCCCACACGGCTGTACCTGTCAGATTATGCTGAATTACTGAGAACGCGCTGAATTAACGAATGAGAAAGTTGTAGAAAGATTTCACTCTCGAGGATAACCTCGAGACGAACGCGAAGATCGACGGATGACGCGTCGTTCGCGTGCCCTAGATCGAGCATCGGTGACAAATCACGTTACACCGAATAATCGAAGATGGAGGGAGATTTTTGAAGTCGAAGCAGTCGAACGATAAGATTTGCAAGAGAAAGCGCAATTTGAAGTCGTTACGGAGAATCGACGTAACAAGGAACAAGGTAACGATGGACGTTGGAGAAAGTATATCTAAAGAACTTAAAAAAGTGTAGAACTTTGAGATAATAATCTCGTTTGATCCTTATTTATTTGATAATTGATACATTTAGTCACTTTTTCTATTCTAGTTTAGTTCGTTTAGAAGGATGCAGATACGAATATAAAGAATTTAACCATGAATGTCTTATCGTTTTACGTAATGTAGGAATTTGTCGTCGCAACGATCTTTAAATAGTTGAAATATTTATAAATCGTTTCGAGTAGTGGTTCTCTAGTTACCATCGCAGCGCCGCCATCGCTGACGTTCCTGTGGATGATAACGCAGACGGGCGTTCAAGATCGATGGATAATATGTTGTAAAAATTACAAATATGTATGGATAAATAGACTTTCAGGATATACAGAAGACACGTTTCGAATGAGCGACAATAGACGTTATTGCGATTATTATAAACGAATGAAATGATACCGAAGATGTGCTATGAGATGTCGCTACTTACCTCGAAACTATAAATCCTTTTAAATTCCAAGGACGTCCATGGAACTTCGCATTTTTCGAAGTCGTACGCGAACGACGAACATTGAAACGAATATCCTTTCAAAATGTCGTTTCATCGTCGAAACAACGTCGATAGTATTCGACGCCATACGTGTTAGTCGATGAAATGCGAGACGCAAACTGGTCCGCCAGTTCATGGACCATCGATCGCCACTTAAACGAACTCGAGAAAACTCTTCCCAAAGTACAGCGGACATCGCTGCTCCCAGGAATCGATATTCGTTCACGCGTCGCATCGAATCGCCCCGAACGTCCCGTGAGACCTAACCAAACATCGAAAATGTTTCCCTTACGCGTGCCTCGACACTCTCATGTAAAAAAAAACGCGGTCAATTTGGACGCACGGGAAATTTTACTTCCGTTTCCGAAGGAAAAGCGTCACCCCGAGGGCCAATTTATGGAAGATCTACGCCGAACGTTTCACCCTTTCGTTGGGGATAGCGTATACGACGGGGTGGATCAAGGACACGAAAACAATTCGTACAAACGGGTGCCCTGTTCGATTTCGTTTTCGAGTCGTAGCCATTTTTTTGTTGCACCTTTGGTCCACACACTAGCTTGCAGACATTTTGTGAAATGGAAGGGGGATGATTCTATATGGAAAAATAAGTCCAGAACACAGAATAATCTCGCGAATTACTTTGTATCAATCAGTTTCTATCTGTTTTTAATCGTGGCATATAATCTTGCATCGAAACTTTCGAAAGACCTAAAATATTTAGACTATTCTTAAGATGAGGTATGCCGGTTCAGTTTTTAAGCTCGCGAGGAAATATTCTCCCACGTCGGTGGAGCGCGTTTCGTTCGAAGGGCGCCGCGGCGAAAGGGTTTTTTTTAAGAGTATCGCGCAAAACGGGAAGCGATTTACGGGCGATCGTAACTGGTTCTCAAGGACAGAGCGTGATATAGGTTGACCCGCGTGTCGTTGAAACGCGAATACGGCCTCGCGATCCATGAAATAAAAGTATCTCGATTCGCTCGGTCGACTGAGGTATAAAAAGGACCAAAAGGAGAAGGCGGGGGAGGATCGGTGGAACGGGCCAGAGAGGGAGGAGGGTGCTGGCGGGGTGTAGGGGGGGGGGGGAAGGGTAACTGCCAGGAGGTCAGACACGCGCAGGATGCGCGGAATTATCTCGCCGCGAGGCCACACACACCCTTCGTTTTACGCGGGCATTTACGATCGCTCGGGTTTTCAACCCTCCGCGCGGCGGCTCCGTTCCGTTCGGTTCGGTCTTGGCCGCGTTATCGAGCGAGCCCCGCGAAGCCCATTAATTACGGGAACGCGTATTCGCGCCGAGAATATAATTCGGAAGGAGAGCAACCGAACGAAGGAGGCGATATCGCGTAGGAAAGGATGCAGAAAGCGACAATTCCGACGATCGATCGTCTGGTACTTCGTTCGTTCGACGAACGCCCGGGGCGGAATCGAGCGAGTTCGGGACGGGAAATTCGCCGCCATTGGAAATTACGTTGGATCGTCGAGCACTATGTGGAACACGGTGTTTCGAAAATATATGTAAATACTCGAGGAGTCTGCACAAAGATGCAAAAATTGATTGTAAAAAATGTTGGCGAACCCGTCGAAAGGGCGCAGCAACAGGGACGTTAACAAATATGGCTACCGTGCAGGACTCTTTGCTCGAAAGGGTTCTTTTTTACCCGGGTACACGAAGTAAATAAATTCGCGATCATCGAGAGTAAAGTAAGGACTCTTTCGTCCAGAGTGTGACGCGCAGGCTAGACTACGCCCATGGCGGGGCGCGTATTCTTCCGCGAGAATCTCGGCTTCCGGCTGCTCGCGAAGGCAGCAGGAAAAATTGAAAGCTCCCTTCTTCTCTTTCTCCCTCTCTCTCTTTTTCTCTGTTGGGTGTCCTTGGGGTGCGGCGGGATCGTGCACGCGTACGCGTACACGCATATTCGGTCGCGTAAGTGCGTGCTATAGATTTCGTTCCACTCTGCGAAACGGTGTACTTGTGCGTGCCGCTCTGTGTGCCGTATTCACTCTCGAGGCCCTCCCTCTTCCTCTTGCCAGCGCCCCTCTGCCGCCCTCGCCATCCCTCGGCCACCCTCGTCCTCTCCCGTCCCGCCACCTGCGAGAGAGCAGAAAAAAGGGGTGAATTTCTAGGCACGTAAGCGCTCGTGCAACGCACCTACATCGACTATCTGCGTGCACTTGTGCTCTACGCGCTTCCCACCCTCGTCCTAGCTGCCACTAGCGATGGCCTCAAGACGCCACGAGTCCCTCCCGCGCATCTCCAGTCTGGAACTTCGCTAGCAACCGCGTCGAATATTTTTTAGACGTCTGTCTTCCATCCGAGACCTCGTCCTTTGCTCCACAATTACATACAAAATATGGAAATATATATTTCTTCGCCTTTTTTGAGTCTGAAATTTTAGTACCAAAGTCTTTTTGCATCGTGTTCTTAACTCCAATTTAGAACATTTCCAAATCTCTGTCTCGATAGATCTAGATCTTCAAATACCCGGGTACTCGAAGGCCTGGTACATTAAATCGTAGTCGCTGGTACAATAAACACAATGGAATAGCTTCTCGAACTTTAGACCCATTTCTCTTCACCCTTCCAATTAGTTACTTGCGTCACTTTGAAGTAAGACTTCCGTGTACCACGCGAATACATTGTGTGGTTATTTACGTTCGTCTTAGGGCTACGTTAATCTTTACGGAATTTCAGACACCGTTTACGACTCGTCCTTTCCACTATAGGTACATATTGTACACTATACTTGTTCCATACTGTTGAAAAATCTACCCTTAAAGCAGCTAGTTTCGACAAAACGAAGTATTTATTAAGAATACACTAACCACGACTGACCAAGGATTACCATGTCCTAAGCCTCTAAGACTCCAAAAAGCACCCCTTGGCCAATCTTCCGTTCGTCCCTCGAAGATGGCATCGAAGTTCCATCTAGTAACGAAAACACGGTAATTGATCGGTAATTTCGGCTTCCGTAAACAATAATTTAACCACGCGTTGGAGAAATTTCGCCGCTATCGCCGTGGCTCGTAACGTATTCCAATAACCGGCGACATTCGGCTCGGGCTTCTTTCATTAAGAAACTTCGTAACTTCGGATCGGAAACTTTCGAGACTTTCAAACACTCGTAATTTCAAATATTATTCGTCGGGTCTTCGTTCGGGATCAAATTGCTCGAAAACTTGCAAGAGGGAGAATCGAATGCCCATCGCTAGCTGCTGGCGTACACTATCGTCGTCGAGCCACCCCTCGCCCCGTCGACCAACCCCCGCGCCGCCCCTCTGTTCTGCTCCATGGTAATCCAAGAGTGCGTACAGAGGGGGGTACACGCACACGAGGTGGATGGCAACGCGGGTACCGAGGCTACTTGAAGGGTTTCCATTTATATGCGCGCACGCACCCCGCGTCGAAGGGCGCTCGGTAGCGCGCGTACGCGCACGCACCCCGACGCCCGAACCGAGGAACAGGAGCGAAACGGAGCCTCCAGGCTGACGAGGACGGAACGAGGGGTGAAGTTGCCTCCTTGAGGAGCGTATACAGGGTGTCCCACTCGAAAAAAGCCCACCTAATTATCTCATTCAGACGTGACGATACGAAAACATGCTTCCTACGCAATTCGAACGGTTTTAACCCCAGAATGTCACCCCCTCCGGCCTCCAGCGGACACCGACTATACAGGGTGCGTCCGAAAGTATCGTACCAACCACCAGGGGCGATCCCTTGCGTGTAAAAAAACGTGGAATAAAATTTTTTCCCCCGAGGGTTAGTTTTCTAGAAGAGGGGGTCTTATTTTTGTTGAGATTCTTTCTCAACGCAAGAAAAGAAATTATTTAGTTATCTTGCGAGGTAGGAGGTAACAGAGTGGTGTTGAAACGTTTGCTACTGTTGTCGCGAATGTAGGAGATAATTATGTGGGCTGTTTCGAGCAGACCACCCTCTAGATTACATTCTCTCGTGGTAATAGGCCAACCGTATATCAGCGCGCGCAATTATCCTGCGCGCTGCAGAGATTTTCCCTGCTCGAGGACCGGCCGCGAGCGGAAAACGTCGAGTTTCCGGGGCTCGTTTCTTGGTCCGCGATTTGTCCTGAAGGATCGCGCGCGAGCTTACGCGTTTCCTTTCCATTCGGGGGTGTTTTACTTCCAGGGGTGAAAATTGCTTGAATTTCACGGAATGAAGTTTGTAGAGTTCGCGGATAGAATTCTGCGTTACTTTGACGCGTGGATGGGAAAGACAGATGAAGGGTAGGGGTATACTTCTGCCAATGGGGTTAAAATTACTTATTTATGGGAGGAATATTGCGACCAGAATTTTATTTATGCATCTAGGCAGAACATACTATTACATCCCCAATTATATTTATTTACAATACAAAACGAAATGATTATTTCGTTCAATAATTACAAATACGTAGCCGCGGAGTTAATGCTCCCTCGTTTCCGGCTTA